GGCTCTTAGTGAAACAAAGCTGAAAGGGTAGGAGAATTTCACTGGGGAGAAATAAAAGGGATTAGGTCAGGGGTTACTAATAGAGTTAGAGAAAAGGAAAGAGTAGCAATAATATTGAAGGATCAGTTATGGTAGGAAACGAGGGAATATAGATGTATAAATTGTGATTGTGGACTAAAATAAGGGTCATATGTGAAAAGTGGGTTTTAGTAAGTGTTTATGCACCTGGAGAAGAGAGAAGTGTAGAGGAGAGAGATTTTGGGAGATGTTAAGTGCTTAGAGAGTTTTAAGCCAAGCAAGAGAGTAATTGTGGTAGGGGACATGAATGCTAAAGTGGGAGAAATGGTTGTAGAGGGCATGGTAGGTAAGTTTAGAGTGTCAGGGGTAAATGATAATGGGGGCCTTTAATTGAACTATGTATAGAAAGGTTTGGGAATAAGTAATACATATTAAGAAAAAGAGGATAAATAAGTATATGCACAAGATATGATATAGTGCATAATGAAAGGAGTGTGTTGGATTAGGTATTGGTGGATATAAGGTTGATGGGTAGACTTCAGGATGTGCATGCTTATAGAGGGGCAACAGATATATCAGATCATTATTTAGTTGTAGCTACAGTTAGAGTAAGAGGTAGATGGAGCAAAAGGAAAATGGCAACAGCAAGTAAGAGAGATGAAAGTTTATAAACTGAGGGAGGAGGAAGTTAGGGTGATGTCATGACTAAGATTAGGCAGTTTGTAGTGTAGATATTATGCAGAGAATTCATAATGTGGAAAGTAGGAGGAGGTACTAAAAGTATTATTCAGAGGGCCGAGGATGGGTTGTTGAGGTGGTTTAGTCATTTAAAGAGGATGGAACAAAATGGGATGACTTGGAGGGTGTATAAATCTGTAATGAAGGGAAGGAGGGGTAGGAGTCATCCTAGGAAAGGATGGAGGGAGTGGGTAAAAGAGGTTTTGTGTGCAAGGGGCTTGAGTATACAGCAGGCATATATGAGTGTGTTAGATAGGAGTGGAGATGAATGGTTTTTGGGACTTGACAAGCTGTTGGAGTGTGAGTAGGGTAATGTTTTGTGAAGGGATTCAGAGAAACCAATTAGTCGGACTTCAGTCCTGGAAGTGGGAAGTACAATGCCTGTACTGTACTTGAAAGCAGGGGTTTAGGACATTTGCTGTTTGGAGTGACATCTGAACTGTCATATCTGCTTGCCTTTGCAGAGACAGTGATTATATGTGAATGATGGTGAAAGTGTGTCTTCCCTTTTTGGTCACCCTGCCTCAGTAGGAGATGGCCAGCATGTTGAAAAACAAAATCTCTAAAAGAATAGTTGTAGTACTATGATTGGAACAGTTGGAAATAATCTTAGTCCACCTATTTGTGTGGGGCTAAGATTATACTCCATCCACCTCTCAGTACATTAAATGTTCTGATCTTAGAATATGCATGAATTGACCTGACCTTGAATGTTTTTTACTTTCCATGTGCATCACCCTGACCTGACTTTTGGCCTTATTGTTTGTTCAGTATGATGTTTCTGTCTATCCATGACAGACAGACATCATCTAAATTTTATTTCTAATTTTTGGGTTAGTTGTGAATAGTTCTGTAATCTTCTTAAGTAAGTATGGAAAGAAATTTCTTAATTATAAATGCTGTTATTTTCTGAATGTAAAATTGCTTCATAACAATTAGTTTATGAAATAACTGTATTATATTCATTTTCAGGCTCACCCTGAACGCTTGTATGAGTGTGAAGTTTGTCAAGAGAGGCTCACTACCAAAGCTGAGTTGGTGTGTCACTTGGAGGAGCACATTACCTCGGGAGAGAAGCCATATGCTTGTACAATGTGTCCACGTAGATATGCTCTTCCTCGGCAACTTAAAGAACACATCAGACATCACATGAACAAAACTTTTGCCTGCTCTCAATGTCCAAAGAAATTTCGGTCAGAAGCAGCTCTTCAAGAACACTTTAATGTCCATACTGGAAATCGTCCATATTGTTGTGACCAGTGTTTCAAAAAATTTACATCCAAGCATATCCTCAAAACCCACATGAAAACACACACGGTACGCCGCCGCCCACATAGATGCAGGACTTGTGGCAAAAATTTCCTTACATCACATCACTTGGCTGATCACCTTAATGTGCATGAAGGAAAGAAAAATTTCATATGTGAGACCTGTGGAAAAGCCTTTGCAACTCAAAGAAGCCTTGATTTACATGCTATTACTCATTCGGGAGTAAAAAATTTTAGTTGTACAATTTGCAATAAGCTGTTTGCTAGAAAAGGTGAGGTTGAGGACCATGAAAGAACACATACCGGGGAAAAACCTTTCCAGTGTGAAATCTGTGGTTCTACTTTCAGCCAGAGGAGCAACCTACAGTCCCACAAGAGGACCACACATTTCCAAGAAAAAAGATATCAATGTAATCAGTGTAACAAAGCATTTAAGAGGAATAGATTATTGGTTTATCATGTTATGAGTGTACACACTGGTGAACGTCCTTATAAGTGTGAGCAATGCAATGCAGGCTTTGTTTATCCAGAGCATTATAAAAAACATTTAAGAATACATACTGGGGAAAAACCATTCAAATGTGATATATGCGGTAAGACATTTAATTCCAGAGACAATCGAAATGCTCACAAGTTTATTCATTCTGACAAAAAGCCATATGAATGTGTGTTGTGTGGTGCTGGCTTTATGCGTAAACCTATGTTGGCCTCTCATCTTCAGCAACATGGTCATACAAAAGATCTTGAAGTTTATATTAAAGTAAATCCTCCAACTGTTGTGGCTGCTGATATGACAGGGGAAGGGGTCCCTAGTCCAACAGAAACTATTCGTACAATGAAGCTTGACGATGAGCAGAGCTTGGAGCCAAGTTTAGATGGGCCAGTGCAGCTGGTGCGTGGGGGTGTGCGGGATGGAGAAACTGTGGAAGTAGTGTCTAGACCTGTTCATATTATTGAAGCTGACGATTTACCACGTTACATCATTCATACTACAAGTGGAGGGGAAAGAAATGAAGAAGGAGTGGGACATTTCTTTGCTTCCCTTCAAGGTCAGGTAGTTGAAGTTCGGGCAGAAGACATTGAACGCTATACGGACCTTACCACAGACCAAATGACACAAGTTGCTCAGGTGGCAGCTCAAGTTGTGGCTGGTCAGTCTGCAAACAGTGGTATTCAGCAAGTTGCTGTTTCTGGTGATCTTCGTCCATTTAATATTCAGCTTGAACCTGGCACGCGTGAAATTACACTACAAACCCAGACAAGTAATGCTCGTGAAGTTTCTGCTTCTGTTGGTGTTACCACTGCAACTGCACGTGATGTCACTTTACCAACAATTAGTCAGGTGCAAGGAAATGCAGGAACAGTCCTGGTAGGAGGACGGCAGATGCAATATGAGTCAGCAGGGGGACTTGGACAAAGCACTCTGAGGAAAGTGTTGACTGACAGGGATGAATTACGTGCTATTACTATTCAAAATATGCATACACCAGCAAATAATTTTATTGGAAATTGATGATTAAGATACATTTCTTATGAAATGTAATGTATGCTCTGAATATGTGTCCAGATACTTAACATGATGTTGGGCTTTAAGATGCTTTATGTGTTAAGAGTGTTACAGATGTATATACTTAGCTCTATTTTTGGAAGCTGGATTGTTAATGCTTCTTTGTTGCAATTCTGTTTAGAAGAAGAAAGTTAAGAAAACTTTCTTGTATATTTCCATATAATTATGTATATTCCAGAAGTCAAAGATAAACATTCCTTTAGAGCATAAGTTTCTAGTTGTGCAAATTATTTAAAATTTAGTTTGTTAGTTTATGTTTGTTAGAAATGTATTTGAAAGGCATGAAAAGGTTCTCCTGTTCTGTTCCACAGATTCATTTTGATACACAGACATGGTTGTGAGGTAAAGAAGAGAATAAATTACATAACTAAGTGAATTAGTTTTGTAGCCAAGATTTAACCTTTGTTATGAATGTGTGATAAGTATTTGTGAATACTAAGAATGTGTGAATTCCAACTGTTAAGAATGCAAGCCAGGTAAATTGGGTTATAGTATTGTTTATAAAAAAATAAATAACTGAATATAATTAAACAAAATACAGTTTAGGTTTCAAATATTTAAAAAAAAATAGCTTTGTAATATATATGGAATTTTCAGGATCAACCTTAAAGCAACAGCAATTTCATATAAAATATACATAATTGCTAAGAATTCAAATGTTAATATCTCTAGTTGAATACATTTACCAACTTTGTCCTGTATTGATAACCAAATGATGCCTTTTATATAATTAGTCTTTATATTTATTGGTGCATCTCCAGTTAGGTTTTATCCATAAGATATTTAAACTCTTAATTTTTATGTATTAAATATACAGTATTTTATTTGCTGTGTTAGTGACTGGCTTTATTTTTACGGTAAAGAAACCTATTCTTGTATAATTCTCACAATATTTATGACTTCTAGAAATGTTTGATGTTAATATAGTAAGTGAAGTTGGAAAAAGTGTCTACTGATTCAAGGGTAGCAGTTCAATGACCCCTCATTTTATGCTAACAGGACAATGTAGGGAAAAATCTGCCTGCCTTTTAGCATGTTAATTTAAATTTCAGTTACTTACCTCATTCAGTGTGTAACCCACAATTACTTCATTATTTGTTGTCCAAAAATATCACAACAAGCTGAGAGATTAAACTAATAACCAGAGCATGGCAGTCTTCCTATGAAAATGATAAACTGATGCCATTCATATAGGTACTTTTATTATAATCATTAAAAAACAAATATATACACACACACATGGTATACCACTTTCAATGCTATAAGTTGCATGCAGATGGTGTAAAGCTTGGTAAACAAATTATAGCCTCACTAGAGCTTGACAAATCAACCTAAATGCAATTGCAGTGTGGGACTGGTTGGTTTTTATAAGGCATTGCAACATCACCATGAGATTGATTGGATATAATAAGAAAATTACATTGGTATGTATAGAATTGGGTACATTGTACAGTGGAATCTTGGTTTTCGTCATTAATTTGTTCCAGAAAGTCTGACAAAAACTGAAGCAATATTTCCCCTCCTCTTCAAGGGGGGCTCCTTGGCGTGGTGAAGAGGCTCTTGGTCTGAGGAATTAGACCTATCGGTCTTCTTCCTCAGACCGAACCTAATTACCCCCCAATCTCCCCTCCCCTATCCCATCCTCCCCATCCTCCCCTTTTTCCTTTCCTCCTCCTCCTCCCCACTCCTCCCTTTTGCCCTTCCTCTTTTTGTCCTTTGGGATTTCTCCCACAGGCGCGCTAGTTCCTAGGTGGGAGAAAGGACACCGGGGTCCATCCCATTCCGTTGAGGTTTCTTGGCGGTGGCGTAGTTTGCCGTGGAATCTGGATTGCCTAGGGATGTCCCGATCCCTCTCCGGTATCCCGGAGTAGCTTTGGGTGTCTTTTGGGCGACGGGTGTAGCTCTGGAAGCCACCTTTCGGATTCCGGGGGTGGTGGCTGAAGGAGGTATGCTTTGTGGCGGATATCCGGCCCCCCCTCTTTTGTCCACCGAGGTAGCTCGGCAGATGTGAGGTTGCTATCCCAGATTGCTGGTTTACTGGCATGAAGGGTAGGGTATGGCACGGGTTCCATGCTGCATCTGCGCTACTAGCGGTGTCGAGTCCTCTTGGGCGCGGAGGGAGATTTCTGGCCCTTTCATCCCTCCTAGGAACTATCCCTCCCCGGTCCCCCCTTTTTTTTTTTTTTTTTTATTTTTATTTTCTTTTCTTCTTTCTTTTTTTTCTTAAAACAAAAAGAAGGAAGTAACCTAACCATGGCAGCCCTAGTCCATGAACCTGGTACCCCCGGGCCCCTTCTTGATACCGCACCCCGTTCTGACCCCGCCTCGTCTTTGGACCACTCTTCAGACATTCCTCATGCCTCTGTACCTATTGCCGGTGCTGTTTCCTCACCCCTTCAGGTACTGAGGCCTCGACTGATTTCCTTCGATTTATCAGACCTTCGCTCTCCTCTGACTATGCTTCCGGCCTCTCCCTCTACGGTCCCGGCAATTTTAAAATCGCCGACCCGTTCCACGTCGGACCAACTCTGGTCCCACGCCTAAACGTCAACGACAATTACTGCTGATGTACTTCTCCCCCTTCACTTCTCGTTCTTCTCAGAAACGATCGACACGTCCTTCACTACCTTTCCACGCTCAGTTTCAGACTGAACAGTGGACTAAATTTCTTCACTTTACGACCAACTTCCTCTACTGCCTATCTTTCTGACCATAGTATTGGCAAGGCCTCCTACGCCATTTTGGTTTAAAGATATTTCTTTCATGCTCTTAAGAGCGGTACGGCATCATTACCGTACAGAATGCTACCCAGGCTCGTGAGCTCTCTCGTCTTACCCATATAGATTACTGTTCCTGTCACCCTTGAAAAACATCATTCCCTCAATTCTTGTAGTGGTACCGTTATTTTTGCCCATACCATAGTTTCAAAAAAAATTTCCAGACATGGGGCCCGACATTCTAGAACAGCTGGAACTCCAAGATCTCCAATCTCAAGGTAGACATTTACGTTCTTCCTGCCCGTGGGCGGAGACATACCCTAGCAATTTGGCTCGTTTTAACTTTTGACAGCCGAGAACTCCCATCCTCCGTTTATATAGCAGGACATCGTTACAAGTTCGAAAGGTGATCCCTACACCACAACAGTGTAGAAAATTGTTTGGCGATTTGGCCATCCAGCGAAATATTGCAGATCTATCGCCGAATGCCCAGTCTGTGGTGCCGATGACCATTCTAATACGTCTTGCAATCGATCCCCCTCTTGCCTTAACTGTCATGAGGCTCACCCTTTTTTACTCTCGCCGTTGTCAGGTCTATTTAAAACGAGCGGGAAATCCGTTACCTCAAAGAGACAGAAGGTCTCCCTTATGCCATGGCAGTTTCTCTTCTCCGCCTCCAAGGGAGACTCCCACGTGTTTCTTATTCCCGTGTTTCAAAACGTCCCCCCACTTCTGGTATCCCATCTTCTACACCCACCTTTTGTGGTTACCTCTCCCATAATCACTCCTGTATTAATCCTTTTGCTGTCCTCGGCTCAGACGTCCCTACTTCAACGCCTCAGTCTAATCTCGCTTCTTGAGTTCTCTCTTACAAGCCTCAGTATCGCGAGACCTCGTAGACACCTTTTCCCCAATCGTCCCTCTACTTCTCAAAGTCAAAAAAAAAGGTCCGGTAACACCTCCTACCCATCTTCCACCCCCTCATTTACCCTCCCTGTCTCTGTCCCTAGTTCTTCCCCCTCACGGGCCCTCAGTTACAAGGGGCAGAGGTTCACCCTCCTCCTCGTAATGTCCCTTTCCCTCCCCTGTTCCCCCCCAAGTTTCTTCCTCTTCTGCCACCTCCCAGGTTCCTGTCTCTTCTGTCCCCTGCCACGCTTCTCCAGTTCCCCCACCTTTCGCCCCCCCCTACCTTGGTACAGTCCAATACAGTTCCAATCTTTACTCATCCTCCCCCTACCATTCCCAATATTGTCTCCCATACGACATCTCTAAATTTCCCGAAACACTTGAAGCAATCTCTGAATATATTGCAGAGACCAAACCATCAATGGACACTGATCCACCTTCCGCTCTTCCTCTCTCCTCTGCTCCATCTGCGCAACTCCTTTCTTCACAGCGCACCGTTCCTTCGCTGCTTGAACATTTCCACGCTCCGCATGTGGACTTTTCTAACCCTTCTAGTCCGTAGGAACCCTTACCTGCGGATTTCAAGTATCTTTATCATTGCAATATGGCCTTTTTACAGTGGAATATACGCGGCCTCAGGGTAATCGGGGTGAGCTTCAGATGTTACTCTCCCAGTTTGCCCTGTTGGTGTTTGCTTACAGGAACCAAAATTACACTCTGCTTTTTATTTCTCACATCTCAGGCTATAATTTATTGTATTCTTCAGATCCTTTCCTGATGGGACCTTAATGAAAGTGCCCTTCTTCTCCGCACTGATATTCCGTACCATCAGCTATTTGTTCATACTTCGCTGCATTACACAGCAGCCCGTATCCACTTACATAGGTGGTATACGCTCTGTTCTTTATATCTCTCTCCTTCTCGGGCATTATCTATTCCGGAATTTTGCCTCCCTTGTTTCGTCATTACCGCCACCGATTCTGTTACTTGGTGTTTTTTAATGCCCACCATTTCCTCTGGGGAGGGTCTCACTGTGATTCCCGTGGAATTCAGTTAGAGGCTTTTCTTGCCACCCACCCCCCTCCATGTTTTAAATACAGGTACTCACACCCATTTTGATCTCGGACTCATACTCTCTCTTGCATCGATCTCTCATTTTTGCTCTTCCTCCGCCGCATTAGACTTTACTTGGTCTGTTCTCCCGGACTTACATGACAGTGATCATTTCCCAATCATTCTTACTTCCCTTCATATTCGCCACCTCTTCGCACCCCACGCTGGCAATTTAATGGGAAAATTTGGGAAACCCTTTACTCACACCTGACTGTTTTTAAAGAGGTTCCTTCTTCGTCCTCCATCGATGAGCTTTTACACCTCTTCTCGTCCTCCGTTTTCACCGCAGCTTCTCATTCTATACCCCAAACTTCGGGCAGGCATTCTCAGAAATGCGTGCCTTGGTGGTCCCCCGCTTGTGCTCGTGCAGTACGTTTGAAACGCGCTGCATGGGGCAGGTACCGGTACAATAGAACCACAGAGCGACTCCTTGATTTTAAACAGAAGCGTTGCGATCGCCGCCGTGTCATCCGTGACGCTAAACGCACTTGCTGGCGAGATTATGTCTCCACCATCACCTCTGCTTCCTCTATGAGTGCAGTCTGGAAAAAAATACGAAAACTGAGTGGTAATATTCTCCTGACCCGGCTCCTGTTCTGCGGGTTGCCGGTGTTGATATAGCAAACCCACTAGATG